TCTTAGGCACTGAAGCAGTTGAGGTGGCTTAGGTATCTGACATTTGGGAACTGCAGCACTCTGCACACATTTTCGTAGACAAAGTTTTGATTTCTGCCAAAAGCTAGGTAAGTTCGGATCTAGCTTATGTGTAAAGCAACATTAACCCATATTGGAAATTCTTGTGCTTTGAGAATTCTGTGAACTACTAAGTTACACATCAGTTGTGTCCCTGGGCTCTAAAAGAAATCCTAGCAGCTCCAGTAAAAATGAGACATTAGAATTTAACTGACAGTTGTGTTTTTCTGTTGTTTTACTTGATTTTTATGTAAATTTGTTGGAATTCTGATTTTATTTGCAATCATCTGATACTTATATTCTCTAAGTTTACTATACAATAGGAAGAGCTTGGGATTGAGAAAAGTAAAAACTGGCAAATGTGACTGGTAAATTAGACTTTGTTAATTGAATTAGGTTTCTCTGTTTCTGTTTTGCTAGGCTTGATATTTGAAAAGTAAGACTGATTGAACTTAAAAATTGTCCATCTCTTACCTCATTAAGTTTTTCATTCAACAAACATATTAAGTGTCTACTATGTACCTGCTATGCTAACTCTGTTGTCTCTATTGGGGAAAAGAAATACAAATGATAGTATAAACCCATGGATTCTGCTTACTGCTGGAATGAGTACACCTCTTTTATCTAAATTCATTATAGCTTGGAGATAAATAAAACTTCCTCTTTATGGTGAGGGGGGTAGAGAATTAAAAGAATTATAAGAATTTAGGACCAGGTGAGGGGGTTAAGTACTGGATTTGACTATAGAGAAAAACAAGACAAACAGACGTGCCTACAAACATTTTAAGTGTAGAATTTACTTTACTTAGGAACTGCTTCTTCTCCCCAAGAATTGCATACAGTAATACCAAGAACTTAATGTTTGTTCCCTTTTTCTATTCGTGAGTGAATACCTTTGGCTCTAGAATTATCACCTGTCCCAGATAGAGTGAAATCAGGCTGTTTCAGGAAATGTTGACTGAGCCTACAGACAGGCCCTGATGTAGTTCTTTAAGCGAATGGGACTCCTGTTGGTTTGATGGGCAGGGCATAAGCTCCCAAGACACCAAGACAGTTTAGTGGTGGAATGGCCAAGAACCTATTTTTGTTGCCACCACAGTCTAACCAAATAATCATCTTCAGCCCAGGAAGATATTTAAAACTGGTTCATCTTGTGTTAGAAATAAGCAGTCCCATTCTGAACATTAAAGAAAATGAAGGGAAAAGTTTAAATGATTAAGTTGCTTATATTCTATACTGGTGTCCCCATGTCATAAAGGATGTTTTTGAAGAAAGATTTGTTTAACAGTATACCTTTGTCTATGTTAATTAGCGTCTATAGTTCTGATTCTCTTAAAAATTCTGTGGCTGCTAACCCCTCAAGAAATAAAGTTTGCTTTGAAATGAAAACCTTTCCCCCAAAGCAACACATTGGAAATGGGAAACAAAGGAGTTCTTGCTGTGTTGCCTACCCACATGACATTTTTATTATTTATTATTAGCTAGAAGTTGTAACCATAGGCAAGTTACTTTTTGGACTGGGTTCTACTGTAATAGAGGGTGGGTAGGGGACTTTTTAAGGCCTTTGGTGATTTGGTATTTGGAATCTTCGTCTGGCTGGGCATGCATGATCAGTACCAACCCCAAAACCACTATCCCTTTGTGGACTGAAACTTTGTGCCTGGCTACTTAGGGCCTGGCCACACCTGTACTGAAAGGAAGGAACCTTCTCAAGAAATCAGGACCTCAGCCCCTTGCTCAGCTTCACTGGCTATTGCTTCCAAGGTAGCGGCATCTTTGTTGGCTTGGAGTAGTTGCAGGTCGGCCATTGAACCATTTCAAATGAAGAAGCATGTAGAAGGAATGACAGCATATTTTAACTTGAACTTAAATTGGCAGAACAATTTTGTGTTTAAAGAGGCTTATTGGATTTGTTGATTTTTAGCCTTAAGTGAACATTAATGAAAGCATGAGTAGCCCCTATTGGTGAATGTGTGACCTGAAAAGTTCAGTTGTAAATTGGTTCTTTGGCACATTTCCCGTAGGAACAGTATTAAAAGGTAGTTAAATGCTGTGTAAGCCAGCCACCTATTTATTTGGCCCATAATGTTGTCATGACAAGAGTAGTTGATAGTACTATAAAGTTAGTTTTAGATGGGAGAAGTAAATACACACACACACACACACACACACATATATTTATATATACATACACATTTTTATATTTCATAAAAGCATATATATATCTTTGAATAATTATCATAAACATAAATTTCCTGACATGGTGTACAATACTGCTTATAAATGCCACTTTAAAAATTCAGTGCTATTGTTTGTTTACAAAAAGTAAAAATGAAGTATTTGCGCAGGGGTAGAGGGTTAGATAGGTACATGTCAGCAGGAGTTCTGAAAGTGACTCCAGTCACCTTACTGATCCTTTTACCTCTGTCAGCCTATGTTATAACGCAGGAATGGGCACACGTTTTCAAAAGAGTAAATAAAAGACAAAATGGTCCCATTGCACCTGCATTATTGTACTTCACCTCCTTTAATATTTTATGTCCTTTTTACTGAGATTGTTGAAAATTCAGATGACTCTCACCAGCTCATTATCTAGGTCCCTGCAGGTAGTTCCCTTGCCCACTGTACATGTGACACTGCCCTTTGAGCATTACTCTTGACCTCTTCAAGAAATCAGATGAAATTTTTTACTGTCCTCTCACAGGAGCATTTAAAACTTTTGACTGTCTTCTCTTTGAAACACCTGTTTTTTGTGATGCTGTTTCCCTCATTCCATTCTCCCATAAGAGTATAGCATCCTGTATTCCTCCTTTGTGAGGTATTCACAACTGTTCATTTTCTGGCTTTCCTTCCATCGTACAACCTCCATGAGGTAAGAAATTGTCCTGTCTTGTTCACTGCTCTGTAATTTGCACCAGACCTAAAACTGTATAGATAATGAATAAATACCTACTAAATAAACAAGTGATTTTTTTTTCTGTCACCCGATGAGACAGCTCCTCAAGTTCTGCTATTTCTTCCTTGCTTTATTCATTGATACCCTGCGCTCTGTTACTATCTGTACTGTGCATCCAGTATCCATCATTTTCATTTTGACTATTATCACTGAATTTCAGTTCCTCTTCTTTGTCCCAAGTTGATATGAAAAAATATTCACAATTTATTTCTAAATTCTAATCTGGTAAAGTACGTTACCAAATGGCCTATTAAGTAGTTAAATAGGAATGGCAGGGCCAGAATTGATATTTACTTACTTCTTGGAATTAAAGACATTGTGCTGACTGTTTAGGTCCGGTTGATCTTCTGCTTAGATATACTAGATCTCTAAAGTTACCCCTGCCTTCATCTTCTGTTCCTCCATTTTCTCCTTAATGCTATGACCAAAGCAATCTACTTAAATCAATGGTCTGACCAGGTAATGGTTTTCTCTTATACTATAGAATAAAATGCAAGAGTTGGCTTTTTTGTTTTGGTTCTGTGAAGTAAGTTGAGTAAGTGGATTTCAGCTCAGAAACAGGAAAAACTTCCCATGTTTAGAACTACCAGGAATGGGACTAAGCTGTTCATCAGGTAATGAGTTCCCCTTCACTAGTAGGAATATGGAAGGAAATAAGCAGTTCTCAAACAAGACAGTTTATTAGAGCTTTTTGGAGCTTGTAAGTACTCTAGGTATTTGATTGTGTCTTTCAAACCACTCAGGTCTTCCACAATCTGGCTCAGATAATTTTTGATGAGGAGGACCATATCTTCTTCATCTGCCACCTCATTGTGAATATAATAAGTGCTCAGTATAAATTTATGGTGCTTTCTTGGGTAGATGAGCTGAGGTTCTGTTTCTACTCCAGACTTAGTTTTCTGAGTATCAGCTCCAGATTCAGAGTACTAGGATCGCATCTTGGGCCTCTGTGTGTGGGTTGGGGCAAGTTATCTCGGCCTACTTTTTCATCTGTAAAATTAGACAGTTACTGTAAAGTAGTTAGTGTGAGGACCAAATGCATATGAAAATGTTTTATAATCTGAAAATGCTTTACAAATGGTAGAAATTATTCAAAATTGATGGCTTTTTGTTTAATAAAACTTAATATTTATTTAATATATAAGTGTGCCACTGCAGTTGCTCTTTCACTTTATAATTAGTCTCATTTTTTAGCCTAGCAATGGAAATACAGTTGGTTTCTCTTTAAAAGCAACACAATTCCTCAACTCCTCAAGGGAAAATGTCTTTCTTATTGAATTGTTGATATTTTAATTCCAAACTACCAGTGTCTGTGGGTTTCTCCACTTACCTTTTGTGTGAGATTTGGACAAAGGTTTAAAAAGTACCACTAGCAAAATTAAATAACATTTCTTCCCCACTCTAAAATAGACCATATTTGGTAGAATTTTTTGTTTTAAAATTTGTTTTAAGTATTTGTTGCTTGCTATGTTTTTGTTATTTTTAGGTGACAAAGCCTGAACAATCAGCAAAAAATATTTTAATGAAAATGTTGAACACTTTAATTCTTCATTCTTAATTATTTCATTTGATTTTTTATACACACTTATACATAATACATTTCAGTTATAATTTTATATTACATGTAAATGCTATATAATTAATATGTGTTCTGTTGATACTCTTCCCTACACTGTATATTGTGGAGATATGTCATTGTTCATGGTACTTCATTGAGAGCTCTCTTTGAGTTCAAGATGAGTGGGTTTCTGAATCTCTGCTTTGTAAAGTAGTACCTAATGAGGGAGACTAACTGTAAGAAAGGGCAGTTCTTGAGTCTGGGGAAGAAAAGATGTGTCTCACTGACCAGGGTTGCCTTTATAAGTAAGATATAGTAACAGATCAGCTTCTCAAAAGATAGGGACTCTACCTTGGAAAAGAAAATATTGGCACTTTTGGTTTCCCTTTAACATAGTAAATCTGTCTTCTTTCTTTCCCTTTTAACCAGGTCAGTGTATGTTTTATGCCCTATTTTATCACAAAAAAAGAGAAGAAATACTGCAGTGAATGAAGATTCCTCTGCATTTTAGCACTGCTTTTCTACTATAGTTGGCCTTTGAATGAGGATGACAATGGAAGAGATGAAGAATGAAGCTGAGACCACTTCCATGGTTTCTATGCCCCTCTATGCAGTCATGTATCCTGTGTTTAATGAGGTGAGTGCATAAACATATCCTCATATGATCTCTGCAGTTCCTTAATGAACTCCCTCTATGTGCCAGGGCTAGATAGACATAAAGTTGGTGGAGCCGGGGAGGAACCCAGATATATTTCTCTCCCTCTGGAGGTTTCACTCTAGAGGGAGAGATACACATTGAACAAAATAAAGCAAGTCATTATATAAATGAAAAGTTATGGTAAGTGTTACAAAGTTTAAAAAATAATGTATTAAATAAAATAGCAGGTGGGACCTATATTAGGGATCAGTAGAGGCCTAACTGAGATGAGACATATATGCTAAGATTTGAAAGAGAAAAACAAGGTTTAGACAGTTGAACAGTTGGAATAAGCATATTTTAGATAGCCAGAAGAGCAGGCACAAAAATATCCTAATGAGTTTTAGTCAGTGGTGACAAAACATATTTTAATGATAAATGGAAAGTTGCCATTTAATATTTGGAGATGTAGTTGCATTTTTATTTGAGGTATTTTCTAGGACTTAATTATACCAGTACATTTTTGGTTTTTCTTTTAAATTAATATTAATATGCCAAGGTGTGCAGAGAATTCTAGAGCTGGAGGCTGGTTAGAGATAATTTTAATTTACTCATTCCCTTCCTTTTGATGGTCAACTAAATTCCTGATATGTGAATTCATTTTCCTGAAATTGTGTAGGACTAAAATCTAGGACTGAGTGGCTTCAGCCTGCTTGTGTATTTAATCAGGGCTTTTGTTTGCTAGTAATCTAATTATTCATAAATTTGTCACCACCATTGACCTTATTGTTGCTATTGTAGCCTAGAAGTCCTCACCATTTCCAGTAACTTTTTATCTTTTTTGTAAAATACTTATTTTAGAGTAAGATTCTGGGTTTTAAAACCATTTCTCCCACATAATTAGGTTTACTAATAATGCAGTTGATGTAGTTTATGGCCATCAATCTTGGGGACAATAGAGAATGATTCACACTCTTCAACTTGACATAAAATTGTACTTATGGTACATAGACTTACTTGCCATTTCAGACATACACTTTAGAATTCCAAATACTATCTGTCACATAGTGTTAAGTTCAGTGGCCATAAAAAAGACTTAGAACACTCTTGGCTAAGGTAGACTCAAAAAGTTTTTGGCTTGGGTAAAAGTTTATTGCACTAACATAAAAAATTCTGGAGGTAAGGGGTCCAGAGCATGTATTATGGCTCATTATTATCAGAATCTCAGGTTCCTGTCTTGTGTTCCATCATCCTTGTGCTTGCCTTCCTTCCATTATCAAAGTCACTTCATGTTGGATGGTACTGAAGCTTCATCTGTCATGTCCAAAGTTGCCTGGAAGGTGCAAAAAATTTGGAGTGGAGGGTGGGATTTTACTTTCCCCTGATTCAGTTTCCTTAAGTAACCTTTTTGAAAGCCCCATACAAGACTTCCATTTACATCTCATGGGCAAGAGCTTAAGTCTTGTGACCACATCTAGCTCCCAAGGAGGTTGGGAAATTTAGAAGTTTTGTTACTGAAGAGGAAGCAGGTAGGAGGCATCTTTTGAAAATCCTGTCCTTTTTACCACTAGCATGGTAGCACTGGAGGTACCCTTTAGGGCTGGTTGTACCCACTTCTGGCCGCTATAGCCAGCACTTCAGCAATTAATTCCACCATTTTGTTCTGATACTTTACCCATTTACTGCAGTTACTGTTAGAAGTAAGTGCTTTAGTTTTGTTCAGTAAATAGTTACTAAATTCCAACCATTTGTTTGCTGACTGCTTTGCTGGGGACTGGACACATGGTGAAAAAAAATGCGACATACCTCTTCTCAAAGCTTATAGGGAATGCAGATGTTTAAACAAATAAATTATTTACTTAGCCTTGTACCAGGTATGAAGAAAGCAGACAGTCACTGAAAGCTATTGAGTAACCCAGTTAGTGCTTGAACTTCTCAGGTTCTTCAAGAACCATTATGACAGTTCCACCCAGGGATGCTCGCTTCCCTTATGTCTGTATAGCTAACTCTAGGCTGTTGGGCCAAGTTGTTTAGGGGCATTTTCTATGTTTATCTGCTATTTTAAATCTTTATTTACAGGGAAGGCAGTTTACATTGCAAAGCTTCTGTTTGATCCTCTAGTTAGTGAAGAGGAATAGAAATACTTTTTTCTAACAATTTGATCTTTTCTTCCATATGGAAAATTGATTTTTATTTGAATTGTGGCTTTGGAAAACAGTTTTGTAGGATGTGAGATTCTTATAAAATGCACTATGGGATTGTGGGATTAATTGTGGGATTAGTACTGATAAACTTTTTCCAGTTTATTCATGTGTAAGGAAAATTAACTTGAAAGGAAAAGAAGTGGCTGTGAATGGACTAGTAAATCCATTCCAGAAATAAAGGTGATTCTCTCCAGATAAAATCTGAAAACATACAGAGTTAAGAGACCCAGAATTAGAATATGTTGCCAAATGATTCATAGTTGATTAAAGAACTAATTGTTAGAAGTGAAATTTGAAAATGAAATAGAGGTAGTCAACTGAGAGACACTATGTAATATTGTCAGGATCTAATTCTCTGAATTTACTGTTTACACAATAGTATTAGGCCTTTTTTAAAAATCTATTTGTCATGTATTTAAAAACATGTTCAGAAATAACGGGCTTATAGGACTAGTGGTGGTAGTGGATTTTCCTTCTGACAGAGATAAAATCTAGGGCTTGATTTTAAGAATGGGATAAAATAATTGTTCCTTCAAATATGAAGTATTTGGTTAAAAAGAATAAAGTACTAGCATTGTTCTCTGACATCCAGTGTATTCGTGTAATATCTTAAATAAGCTACCTAATCAATTAAACATTAATATTTAACTGTAAGTTCAAATATGAATTTTTATAAATCTATTCATACGAAAATTAGAGTTTAGTTTGCCTCTGCTTTTTTGCGCTATGTAGATTTAAAGAAAAATGGTTATCAAATTAATTTTACAGAAAATGACACCAGAGTAGGAATGAATGTTTTACTCTGAAGCTAAGTGATTTACTAAATTTTGTTCGCAAGGTGTTCTAAGATTTAAAAACTTACTCATTCTCACCTTGACACTACATCCACAGAAGTAACAATGGTAGTCTAGAAGTCATCTTGTTAAGAGTAGATTTTTAGACATTAGGATATCTGCATACCTGGGGAAATTTTAGTACTGTTACTTGAGCTACAAGGCTAGAGTAACTTTATCTGTGGCTTTATTTATGGCTTTTTGGGAGTTTGATGCTTGCTAACTTTATAAAGAAAGACCAACGCAGTTAAGGAATAGGCTTCTTGTATAATCAGCTACTACGCAGGGTTCGAGTCCAGGTATATTGCATGGGATACAAATGTTGTGTGAAATAGGTCTCCTCGTTACATTATGGAATAATGAGTTTATAGAAACCTCATGACAAGTCATGATCAGATTCTCATGTACTGTGTTACTTTTTACTGATTCATTGTATATGGATGAAGAGAGATGTATGGTTCGGTTCTTTATTCCAGGAGAGGATATTTCATATATCTTCTTCTCTTAAGACTTTTTAGAGAATTGTTTTAAGATGAAAATAATTTCTGAAGAAATAATTATTTTATTTTGAGACAGAAATAAGCAATTTTGCAACCAAATAGGAATTTTGGATCATCAGAAATGTGTATGCTTGTTTATTAATAAATCACACAGAAATGGTACTTCTGAATAAGTAATACCATTCTGTTCAGAAGCATCCAAAAGCAGATATTTCTGCCAACTCAGCAGAACATGCAACTCTTAATTTTTCCCAATAAACAAATGAAACCTGGTAATATTTCTTCAACTTTACTACCTACCTATCTCTTTTGTTTTCCTACTGAAAAAAAAAAAAAACAAGCTTTGAGCATAGTAAATAGACTTCTTCACAATGAGGTCATGTGTTTCACTGGCAGTTCCACCCATCGGAGGTGGTCATAATTAGTACTTTGTATTTGAATTACTGCTCTGCCACTTACCTAGGCTGTATAGTCTTCTCTTAGTTTCCTTATCTATAAAATGATGATAAAGAGTATTGTACTTAATTCTTAAAACTCTTGTGAAATAAGTGAGTTAATATATTGTAGTGTTTAAGATAGTACCAGGAATGTAGCAGCATTATCTTTAAGGAGCCTTTCATATAATTTTCTGACAAAATTGTGATCATAACCTAGAATTTTCAATACTTAGAGAAGTCCAGGTGACTCGGTTTACCTCTTTTGCGAGGCAGCTTGGCAACTCCAGAAACTGATTGTTTTAGAAACATTACATGAAATATATAGGAAACACAGATGGTGGCTTTTATCTTTCTGTGGTAGCCTAAGAGTTAGTAGGTGGCCTCTTGATTCTGTGCCAACTTTTCTGTTCCTCTAGCTTTTTTTTTTAATCACCTCATTCTCATTTGAATCAGTAAGAGGGTTATCTGGAGTTTTTATTCTTGTGTCTTGGCCCAGTTTGATTCCTTTTAAAGAATAGGATGAATAATTGAGAGGTGGGAGGAGGGGAGAGGATACCAGCATGGGGAAGGCATGCCTGATTTTGAGGAAGCAAGATTTGTAGACAATTTGGAACCAACTAACAACCTAGTTACTGTGACCTTTAAAAAAAAAAACTTTCATAAGATTTTATGGGAGACTCTTTAAAAAACTTGAGCAACAAAAGGGTTAAATGGATTTTTTTTGAATTATGGGTTTAAGTAGCTATCTTAATACTAGAAAGTAACAAACTGATAGTTCTGGAGGGAGCGATGAAATAAATGAGCTCTCTGGAATCAGATTATGTGTAATCTTTTAAAATATTTTTATAAATGATCCAGAGAGTTACACTGACAAGTTTGCAATTAATAGTAAGTGCTTTCAAAAGCTGTCTAAAGTAAGATGCAGGAGGAGTGCACAAATCTAAAAGTAAGCAGAACTTGAGGTTGTATTAGGCTAACCAGCCCACTATTTCCCTCCTAGTGCACTTCAGGAGGTATTCTCCCTTCCCTTTTAGGTGAGACAAGATGTTATGTACCCTTTTCTCTCTCTGATTCCCTTTTCCTTTACTCTCTTACTGGTGACATGGAAGTTCTAGATGGCTGAGGCCCATGGCATGTCTCAGTATTCATTACTGCAAGATGTAATCACAGGTTCCCTCCTCCTTTGGACTCAAAATGCGGTGTATGCACCATCAGTACTATGAAAAAGCTGCTGCATTGGCTCTGTAACGATACCCTGCCAACACCTGCTATCCTCCAGGCTAAAAAAATGCTGGACTAATGAGTTAAAATATTGGAAACAGTGGAAATTCTCTTCTGTTGTGTAAGAGTGCATAAAATGATGATGCCCTCATGTGTTAAAGAAAGCCCTAAATGTGAGAACTGCCAAAGAAGATGATTTTAAGAGGCCACGTTCTTCAAGGACCAGTTCAGAACAGATCTCAACTTCGTGCTTTCGCTGACAAGGATCCCATCAGTTTCCATATAGCTGCTTACCTAAGTTGATCTGGGGATCCAGGACTATGTAGTCTCTTTGTGTCTCACATACTGACTTCCTTGCACATGATAGAAACTCAGGAGTTAGGCTGTTGAAGAAACTGAGTTAATAAGATACCAGTCTGGAAAGGGTGAGTGCAAGGGGACAGGGTAGCAATAGTGGCTTGTGCACAGGTTTTGGAGCCACACGAATCTGGTACAAATCCTGTCTGTGTCCTTAACTAGCTATTTAACATTGGGTAAATTTATGCAAACTGAGTTTCCTCTTCTCTAAACTAGAGGTGATAGTGAGTACAGATTTACCATGAGGATTAGAGACAATCTATAAAAATGCTCTATAATTATAAAGTTCATAATAGGAACTCAGTTAATGGTAGCTATTATTAGGATATTACCAGAACCTGACACTGTCATGAATCTTATTGGTTAGATGATCATAATTATACTATCAAATTCATAGGTCACAAGTGAGAGGCCTAAAAGAGAAGCACTTTTTAATAGAAAAGATAAAAACTTACCTTGCTACCTAAGTATTACAGGCTGGAATTATAAATAAACTCAAGAACAATTAAGTATATTTTTGAGTGAGAGATTAAATTCAATTCCACAAACATATGCCTGGTACACTCTGGGCATTGTGGATATTATATGAGTAATAAACCCTTGTGGGTTTATTGTAAGATGTACAGGATGTAATCCAAAATGACCAGCAGAGTTCTGGTGAGGTGCTTCACAGCTACAGGTTTAATTTAGTATGTTAAATCTGACCTTCCCCTTTGCTTTGTAAAGTACACCTATGTAAACTTAATCTGGAAGTCTGGAGATGTTGATGTCTGTCTTAGCTAATTTTATTAGTTCTTCACTGACTTTGCTGGTCCTCTTTTACTTGCCTTGGCCAGTAGGGTGGTACAGAATGAGTTTACAATGCTGATGCTCTGAAGGCACATATCTGACTCAGATCTTTGACCTGTTGAAAGAGGTAGAGTGTGGTATAAACCCAAATAAGGCAATGGGTTCCTATCAGGGTGAAAACATTCATCCTGTCTGCCTTTGCCTCCCTTGCACAAGAACTAGAGGTCAGAAGAGCTCTATTGTTGTTTTACTCTTAAGTAATATTCATTATAATTAAATCAATTTTGTGGAAGAAAAAATAATTTTCAGTTTTGGAAACATAACTCAGTTAATTTTATAAACTCCTTATACAGTAATTTCTTTGCTATGTTTACCTACCTGGTCCCCTGTGTCTTCCTTTTTACCTACTAAGGCATTGTTAGATTTTACAAGATTTGTAGAAGCCAAGTTAAATATTAAATTAAATGGTCCATTGTTTATTTTTGGAGGTAACTTATTTATCCTTGTTTCTTTCGCCTTAGGCTTAAGGTGTATATAACTCATAGGGCAGTAAGGGTCGTGGCATTTCTCGATTAGAAATAAATTCAAGTATAGGATATTCCTTAGATATGTATATGTATATATGTCATTTATAAAGGAGAACTTACATTTTAATTGTCTCAAAGGATTGAAAGGAATATTTACTGCCTAATGTGATATATGTTCATAAGGTTTTTGTAGAAATATTGCATTTGCATAAAAATCTATGAAAGTTGTATTGTTTTCGAACATTTACTGTCGTCCCAAATTTAAAAACAAGTACCTTAAATTTTATTGAGTTAACTGGCCCAATCCTTAGGGACTGAAGAAATCTAAATTTAACTGAAGGTTCATTTTAAGCCTGGTAGTTAACTCTTCAACAAATTGGGTTATTTTTATGAAATTGTATGCTTTCTTTGGCTTACTGAGAAATGAATTGTGTAGAGTATGTAATAAGGAAAATTTACCTCTCAAAATGGTAAACCTCACATATTTGTTAGAAAAAATAAAAAGCATTTGTATTTTTATTAGCCGTTTTTTAATCCTGATTAAACAGAGGACAGATATAGCATCTCTGAAGCCCAGATGATCACAGTCTTCAATTTGAGTATCAAACCTTTATCAGTGCTCTTGCTAGTTAATAAAATGAAGCTAATCTCAGCTTAATCCCTGGCTGAGGGATTGTAAAGCAGTTAAAAAAAACAGTAAAATAATAAATACAAAGAATCTTAAATAATAAGTGTTTTCTTTTTGTTGGTCATTTTATAGTCAACACATACACTCTGTCATGTGCTTACTACAGTATTGAGAGTCTTGAACCCTTCCTGCTTCATTAATTCAAGTAAATATGTTAATTATTTTTACAGGAACACTGTTTTGCATTCTTACCTTTATGTCTACCTTTAAGATAGAGTATGTCTTACTTTTTCACTAAAAGGAATTAAAGAACTGATAAACATACCTTAATTTTTTTCATTGTTTGTAATGAAAATTTTAGATGACCTATCTATTTGAAGAATTTTAGTGATTTAGAATCATTAGGTATTTTTTGTTAATTGAGTGATGGATAGATCAATGTGATTACTACAGAATGAAATACTGTAGATGTGCTTTTTCTGAGAAAAATCTATATTAATGATGATTTTCAATTTCATTGCAGCTAGAACGAGTAAACTTGTCTGCAGCTCAGACACTGAGAGCAGCTTTCATTAAGGTGAGTTGCAAATAATTTATTATTATGATTAAAATGTATGTTACATATAAATCTAAATAACCATGTGATAACTGCCAGTTTATTTCCTTTTAATAAATATAGAGTTAAAATCTCTTCAACCATCTTTTGCCCATTTTAGTATACTCCATAAAACTTAAAATACTTCCAGAAAGTTAGTGGGAATAAATACCATTTCTTTAGCATTCATCTTTTGTCATTTTGTGCTTTTGAAACTGACTTCTTCAGTTTTCCTTTTAGTTTTAGAGATATTTTTGAATTTTTTTTCTATTATTGGAGTTGTTAAAAACTTTTGTAAAATTATTACTCAAAAAGTTATTCTTCATATTGTTTAACTATGGAATAAAACTATAAAACAAGGTTTTTGAGTGGGAAAACAAGACCCACATATACTTTGAGAATATACAGCTAAGTCAAAATAAATTTTTTCATTGTCTCTTTACCTCAGCTGTTCAGTCAGTAATCACTAGCCACATATTGCTGTTGAGCACTTAAAATATAGCTAGTTTGAATTGAATTGTACTTAGAATAAAATTCACCAAATTTTGAAGACTTAGTACAAGAAAAGGAATGAAAGATAACTCAAGTAATAAATATTTTATATTGATTACATGTTGAGGTGGTAATATTTTGGATGTACCTTTAAAATAATTTCCTGTGTTTTCTTCTTACTTTTTATATGGCCATTAGAAAATTTTAAAATATAATGGATGATATTTCTTGCTTGTATTACATTTCTATTGGACAGCCCAACTCTAAATTCTGGGTGCATTCCTTCATATAAAACTTTATCTGCTCCCTTCCCTTCCAGTATGTATCAGGGTGCCCAAAACTTTTTACTTTACTTTTTGTGTTTGTTCCTATTAATAGCTATAACAAGATACACTTCAGGTAAAATATTTTAATGTTTAAACCTAGAATAAATTTATAGTTCTAAGTTTTATTGGATCAAAACTATAAATCCATTCATTCAGCTTGATTTCCTTTTATGGCAAAGTTTAGTTTATTGATACCACTCTTAATTGGTAGCATAGATGTCACCAGACATTGCTCTCACTATAAGAATTTAAAATTGTGTTTGTTGGATTAGAGCTGTTTTCAAGTGTTTAATACTCTAAAATGCAGCACTTGTGTGTACATACATACTAGCTTCATTAAAATATATTCTGACAAATTTAATGAAGAAAATCAGTGAAGCAACATCATCAGTTTTTTTACTTCTTTGAGCATTAGTATGATTTTGGAATATTTAACGTATTTGGTCATTAGGGAGGCATGATGGGGACTCATTTAGGCTAATTTAATAGCCGTTTTCTTTATGGCCAAAGAAAAGAAGAAAATGTGATCTTTTGTACAGTGTAGTATCGATAAGGCAAAAGGCAGTTTTCAGCTTTACCAATAACCAAGAAGAGAGAAATTGCTCCTGTGGATCCTTATGAAAAAGACCCTATTTAAAGTAGAGATGATATTCTCATTGTCATTCCTAAGAGAGATTAAATAATGAATTTCATTAGGCTTTTCCATATAATATCCTTAAATATAATCTGATGTTTTTAACACTGAAGTATGATTAAAAAGCAAACACTGTGTTTATAGTATGTAGCTATGGTAGATCTGGTTTGATACATGTATAAATTTTATTGTCCACAGCCCTGATTCTAAATTGTGGGGAGTGGAAGTTATTTTGGAAGGAAAAATAAATTAGTTTTGCATTGACTTAGTCTTAATTGTTACCTAATTTCACAAATATTGTTAAAAATTAATTGAAGGTTTAAAAACGCTCACCCAGCCATATATCCATATTTCCAGTTCTTTGTCAACAGCAGTGGTATTTATTAAGCTTTAATATCTATTTCTGTGATTTAGAGAAAAATCATTAAAATAGATTTTCCTAAGGTAAAATAATGTAGTGAATATTACCTTTTAAGATATCTATTCTCCTTAATTCCTTTCACCTCTGGGAGATTCTGATAGGTTATGCTGTTGAGAATAACAAATCCAAAAGAGTGGATGTTACTAACTTCAGAGATAGTTTTCTTTAATAGTTGGATTCTTCATAAAAATTAGATAACCACAGAATGCAAGGTTGTATTATGGGTTAAAACCTGGAGAAATAGGTAGTTATAGTCTCTTTTAAAGACAGATCTATTTATTTTGTCAATCAGTCATTGGGTAAATTTACGACTTTTAAAATGAAAAGTGTCCCAACTAGGACTTTAGCCAGAAGATACTGAGACTATTTTTCCCAAACTGTGTGCTAAGGCACCCTGGGGCCCCACAGCAAACTCAGGAGTGCCTTGAGGTACTTTGAAATTTTGAAGGAACACAGTGGTGTTCAGCATCTGTCTGTTACCATATCACTCTGTAGTGAACTATACTAGCTTGAAGTGGTTTGCAGTTTCAGCAGATGGGGCTACATTCCTTTCAGTTATTCGTATCTTTGTGAAGCTCGACTTCTGGCTATTGCTGTAGATAGTAAGTACCACAAGAAAATTAGTGAACCACAGGAAATGGGGGTATAATGGGCCAATCTGGTTCCAACAGTTGAGAAATTGTGCAGTGCCCAACAGGCACACATAGCATTAATAAGTAATCATGCTTAAAAAGAAAAACATTTTTCTTTCAGTGTATTTACTTTTTTAAAGGCTACTAAGTTTTTTAGGACATAAGTACTTATTACCAACTTTTTGAAACTTGACTACTTAATACATTTGGCATTAAGAATACAATGAATGGAAAAAGTTAGGGACCTCTGTGAGATTTCTGTAATGCTTCTTTGGCTGTTTGAAGCTCCAGACCAGCTTGGTATTGAAAACTTTGTTCTCAGGCCTTGAGCATTGAATTCTTTCAGCACCTTATGATAACTTAATCAGAGAGATACTGTTTTACTGCTGGCATTCTCTAAGCAAATGGCGTATGTTCTCTTGCCGCCTAAGATAATGCATTATGTACAAGGCTTTAATGCTTAGAGAAGGAAGATAGACCATGTTATCAAAAATCCTGGCTTATTAAAATAGTGTATGATATATAATTTTGTGACATTTCACCAAATTAATGTTAACACCTTAAGCCATCTTTGCACAACTTTTCTTTTAAAGTCAACTCTTGCTTTTTTAAAATAGATTCTATATTAAATATGTTCATGGACAGAAAAATAAAAATAGGTTATAAAGGTAACAATTCTCAGTAGGACATTGTTTCAGATTTATTATTATTAATCATCTATCAGTGATTTCCCTGACCTCAGGACTGAGGTAAATATATTTTCACTTTTCATCTACAACCTTTCAGTTTTGATGCTTAAAATCTAATGAGAAACAAGTTGTTATAATAGAAAGAGCAATAGGAACAGAAGAAACCTGGATCTGCAGTGATACCAGAAGGGAACTGAAAAGGCAGACACTAAATGTACTTGACCGATAAATAAGTAATTAGATTGTCATCTGCTTAAGATCATAAATTGTGTTTCTATTTGCTGTTTAATACCAGGGCAAAAAAAGATAGGTAATGATGAGAAATTGACAGGCATTGTAAAAGAAACAACTTTGAGTGTGATTACTAAATTTAAAAAATAAAATAAAATGGGACAAAATTACTGGGGAAAACCAGTATCCGAAAATTAACTTTGGTAAACTCAGAACTCTTCATGCCCAGCCTTGAAATGACTAGAAGATTTTAGTGCCCTAGGGAGTGTAAGTAACATAGAGCCAGTGCAAATTCATTAGTGAAACAAGCTCAGGAGGGTAGTAAAAGGATTAATGATGTTCCAAAAACGAGTGAAGGAAATGTTCTGGCTACAAAAATAAAATAAAAAATGAAAGTCATTGTGTGGGAGAGTAGTTGAGGGATTATATAGCTTTTTTAAAACCTGCAAATGAAATTGTGGTTTTTTTTCTGATATTCTGTTAAGTTAAATGCAAAGAATCCGCAAAACACTGATAAGTTGTTTCTTGATCCTCAAATTGAAATATTAGCTACTGAAAAAAAGCTGAAAATCCTGTGTATTTAAACTAATGAAAAGAGTAATTGATGGGTTACCAAAATATATGTAGTTTTATTTTACCTTTGTTACTAATTTGATTGTAAGAGAGTAAAGGATAAGTAGGAAAGGTTAAGAACTTTATATTCAAATGGAAATGGGACCATGGCTATAATAGGAAGTTACTGATGCATGTATGAGCTCTAACAAAACATAAGTGAATGCTATCAGGACACAGGCTTTACAAAGATTTCTGCCCCTGTTATAAGTTTATCAGTGTAAGAAGTTTCCAACATCTTCTGAACAATTAAGTTTTGCTTTTAAAAATGCTGATTAGGTTTCTGTATTTCAAAATTGGCTTTGTCTTTCTTATAGGCTGAAAAAGAAAATCCAGGACTCACACAAGACATCATTATGAAAATTTTAGAGAAAAAAAGTGTAGAGGTTAACTTCACAGAGTCCCTTCTTCGAATGGCAGCTGATGATGTAGAAGGTAATCACAGAATCTTGTTGAGTTTTCTTAGTTGGAAATCGCTTCTCCAAATTTTTATTATTTGACAAAAGGGCCTTCCTTCCCTCCCCTGCCTCTTCAACTTCCTTCTTGTTGTTATTGTTACTATGCTATAGTGGGGAAACAACACCTGTGTAAAATACAAGAGTACTTGGTTTTTGTTTTACATTTGTAAGATTTAATTCCTGGAAGTAACACATTTGTTTATAAGCTATGTGCTTTAATTTTTTCTGTGTTAATATGTTTGGTGAGCTCTAGTTTAGAACTCTGTGGTTCTAAAAGATAAGCCCTATGGAATGGTTATTTCATGTTGACTTTATTATGCATGTAACAGTTTGAAAGTAATGAGGGTTTTTTTTTTAACTTTAGCATTTTTCTTTGAAGCACAGATCTGAGAAAACTATAATAATCACCTTTTTTGCTTATCTCATTTTTTTCTTCTGTAAATAATTAGAAATGGGTTACACTTAAATTTAGTGGCTATTTTCCCACTAAGAAAAATGTAGAGATAATTTCCTATGTTTATTAAGGGAGCACAAAAGTAGATATTTTGACTGATTCTGTAGCTTAAAAGAACATCCTCATCATTATTCTAGAGTTGAGCATTTGCAGTCTTTTAGGCCAGGTTACAGTGCAATTGGTAGAACTGTAATGTTTCCAAGGCTACAGTGAATATGGTCATGAACTCTCTGCCTCTACCATCTCTGACTGAACTTCTTTTCCAAAGTTAATGTTTTGAGATCCCAACCTTTGTGTTGGATTTATGTTAGTATTTTTGTTTTTAAGTGAAATTTTAAGAATATGCTGAAGATTTTAGTAGTTTTGGGGTTTTGATGTACTTGTTGCCAGGCACCTGCATCTGGGGAAGTCTCTCCCTGCACACTGGGTGAAACATCCTGGAAGGGGGAGGGTTCTTAACTGTTTGAGAAAGAAGTCTTGAGCAGGTCAAATGAGTGTAGATAAAGAAGGACTTCATTAAAGTGAGAATAACATAATGGCAGCTGCCTTGCAGGCAGCAGAAAGCAAGGAAGCTGAAGTAGGACAGAGAATGAAGACGTGCTAAAGTCTAGAAAATAGAATGAAATAACGAAGTAACAAACATACTTACCACTGGAAGAGTGCAGAGAAACGCAGTAAGTTGAGCGGTGAGAATTTTTTATTTAAGGCAAAAAGTACACCCTCGAAGAAAGATGAGTGCGGGCAGCCTCAGAGAAAAGGCACACTTAGGGGCTTAGGATTCTGTCTTTTAAGGCTTTTAAGAATAGGGCAAAGAGCGGGGCTGGGGGCTCTTGGTCGTAGGCTTGACTTGTGGTTTCATGATGTCTCTCTCTGGTGAGAGACTCAGTTCTCTAGATAATTCTGTTAGATAAACCTAACACAAGAAGTTCATTGATCTGGTTCTTCTCCAAGATAGTGGTTTCCCTCAAGCACTGAGAACCTATCAGTTAAGAATGCTTGCCCTGCCTTAGATAGAGTGGGTTATTGTCTGATTACCAAAGAATATGTTAGGAGTCTTACCTCGTAACTCCCTTGTTTTTAAAATGGAATCTTAGCCTTAAGATGGAATTCTTCCTGTTTTTACTGTGCTGTTTATATATCAGCATTTTTCATCATAGGCAAGGAAACTTAATCTTGATGCTTGTCTCATGTCCCTGCCTTATATCATAATGAGCTATTATATATTCAATATATAGGTTTTTATTAAACTCATCTTCCCCACTGGCAGCTACATATTCCCATTGTATTTGTTATGCTTGCCATTACTTATGTTAAGATTTCCTTGTGAAATGTAACTTTAAGAGGTCTGACAAACTTAATTAAGCCTCCCTTTTAAATTTTATTTGCTTATTTGATAAGATTCCATGGGATTTCCATTACCCCAAATTGAAAATGTTTTTCATCTTTTGACATTTTATTAGACAGCCCTAATATTATTACTGAACTCATTTGAACTGCAGTGAATTCTGCTTTGCAGCCTTTTCTTCCCTAATTATCTCGCCTTTTTCTCCCCACTCTTCCTACCGCCTTAATCAACATTGGAAATTCTTAGACTTGAATTTGGCAGGGAGTTGCATTATCTTTTTATCATGTGTTTATTTTGTCAGAGTATATGATTGAACGACCAGAGCCAGAATTCCAGGACCTAAATGAAAAGGCACGAGCACTTAAACAAATTCTCAGTAAGATCCCAGATGAGATCAATGACAGAGTGAGGTTTCTACAGACAATCAAGTAAGCAACTTCTTGCTTTGTTTCTCCTTTTCTTAAAAAAGACTCAAAAGAACTTTTCATTCTAGTTGTTTATTTTGTATGGTATTAGTGTTCAATTGAAATACTAATTTGAAATTTTTAAATGCTACATTTTTTTAATTGACTTCTAAGCTGTGATACTTGGCTTCAGTATGGTAACATTTAATGTTTAATTTAAAACCAGTGAATTTAAAATTTAAATTTCCTTTAAAAACAGTGAAATGTACATCAACTGAAATGTAGTTTGAACCACATAAATAATGGAAGAAATATAAATGTCAGAATAAAGCAAACAGAGAAGTTGAATAAATTATATTGATAACAAAGGACACCAATACTGTTTTTATCTCAGAAATGGCACAAGTCGTTAGGATAAGTAACATACTTTTAGGTGTGAATAGCATTTTCGAATATTGACCAAATTGTGAACCTCCTTGCCTTTGGGATACAGGTTAAGAAAGTCTGAGAATGTTTGTCAGGCCTGGAGGCTGGCTGCTGAGCAGCAGCAAGAAGGGTCATCCTAGAGCACTGGTTTCAAACCAGGGCACTCCCCTTAGAGGTGAGAGTGTGGGGGAAGGAAGGGAAAACTCCAAACATAATTTCTGGATTAATAGAGTCTGATAATTTTCTTCAGCCTCCGTGGGCATAAGAGAGGAAAATTGGGAATAATTATAGTGGCACTATCAATGCAGCCTTTTGGTGAAACTTCAGGTAGAAGTTGTTGGAAAGGAAGGATTTAGCACAGGTCTTTTTCTGGAAGAGAGTGCATCATATGTAGCATCTTCATAGGACCTAAGAATGATTCACTTGGAATAAATAACAACACTCGTCTGTCAGAAATAGTACTCTGTTATTCACATTGCAAAATCCTGTTTTAGTCAGTTTGGGCTCCTAAATTGAGTGGTCTGGGGAAGGAGCATGTCCCATTTAGAAATAATGGTTGGTAACAGGTACCCAACCAAACTGCCAAAGAGTGGCTCTCCTCTTTTTGGTCGTGTAATTGAGGAAAGTATGAAAAAGACTTTTCACCAGCTAGCCAAAATCCATGTCACAGGAAACAAGCCCTGGGCAATTATTTTACCTTTATAGGAATGCCTCAACTACCTTTAACTATTTTTAATATGTGAAGAAGGAAGACAGCCAATTCTTTATGGATTTTTATTTTTAGTCTAGTACAAGGTAAACATGTTTGGCCCATAGAAGGATAAGTTGTCAGTGATCTCAAATACTTTTAAGCAGTTATTTTAATAACTTATTTGTAGAATTTTCAAATAGATTAGTTCTAATTTGCTTTGATGATCATATGTTTGTTGATGATCTGTGCTACACTTATATGAATGTTTGACATTTTAAAAATAATACAAAATAAGCAAATTTTGCTTCAGGTCATTGAAGTAGAGTTTATAGAATCAGTGCCATTAATAGCAATCATTTATGTAGAACTTATATGCTAAACATGTTTTTAAGTGCTTTACATATATTGACTTATTACAACATTCCTGTAACAGATAAAGAAATTAAATAACTTTCCCAAGGTTACAGAGCTGGTAAGTTAGTAGATCTGGGTTTGAACCTAGTCAGACAGACTCCAGTGTCTTCTGTACTACTTCTTTCCCATAGACTCATAATGTTGATCTAATCTGGTGATAGAATAAAAGGTTTCTGCCCTTTGGAAGAAGTATGTATGATAAAGGACATCTTACATAGAATGCCAGTAGGTAAGAAAAAGAACAGTGCTGTGGTTGCAGCTGGGGTAGAATGGGAGGCCCAGAGCCCTCATCCCACTCTCTTGGCACCCTCTCTCCCTCCTGGGGAGTCTAAGGCATCTCTGCTAAACTAGCCCAGTGTGGCTCCACAGAGATAATGGTTTGGAAAACACTTTAACAGCCACATTTTAATAGTAAGGAACTTGAAGTGGAGAGGCCAGGAGTCTTCCATAGTTACTGACAGGATGAATTAGAGTCTTGTCTCTTATTTATGGAGCAATAGTAGTATTTCAGTTGTTTTCTGGAGTACACAGCTGAATTAAAAATACTGGCAATTATAATTTATTTCTTGGCCATTTTAGGAGGGATAATTTCCCTCCTAATTCCCATTAGGAGCCATGGGAAGGTTGCAGTAGTATGTATTATTTCTGAGACTAAAATTCATCCAAGTATGAATTAGCATAGATGGCCAAGGTGTAATTATTTCTATCACTGATATATATTGATATATCTTGATATATACTGTTACCGCTGTGAATTGTTTAACAAATTAGTAGATAAAGTGCTGTGAATTGTTTAACAAATTAGTATATAAAGTACGCCAAAATAAAAAATGACTTATCCTTCAGGCACAACATACTGTGCAGTTAACTATTTTTCTTTAAAATATTTTGCTTTACCACATTTAAGGTAGTTGTCCTCTTCATTTATTTTAGCAATACTTTTCAGTAATCATGTATCAAATACCTACTATACCAAGTAATAGTATGTAATATTACAGGTTATATTAAAGTGGAAAAAAAGATTCCTGTCAGCTAGCAAATACCCAGGCATTTTTGTGAATATTAGCAGACTTAGGTTTGAATCTCTAATTCTAACAGTGAGCTGTGTGATTTCGGATAAGTGGCTTAGCTTTTGTGATTCCAGTTTCTGTCTGTAAAGATGTAGGTAGCAGTTGTGAAAATTGAAAGAAATGATGTACTTAAATTGCCTAACATAGAGCCTAGTGTACACTCACAGCACTTACTAATGTTATGAAGTAAGATTTGTTTTTCCTTCTCTCTACGGAGTTGATTAGGAAAAATTATCCAGCAAACAAATATTTTTAAAGTTCTCTTGATTAATGGGTGTTTCTGTTTGACCACACTTGAGTTTATGCAAATATTTTATATAATTCATAGCTTTTTTTTTTGAAGTCTGATACATTCCAATTGATGGATGACTAGCAGAGGTTTGTAATTTAACAGACCAGAAAGCCACACATGTATCTGTTTACTCTTTACAATCTGTGTTTGCATACTTACAGGCTAAAATTCCCCAGGGTTTGGTTTTCAGGATGGCTTTTCCAGCAATGTGCGGTCTGGACCAAGCTAAGCATGCAGCATAGAATTTCCTTCCTTTAGAGTGTTTGCATAGACATATGTTTTACAGATTTGGGTGACATGATCAGAAGCTCTACTGTTCCATGCAATTTTTAGATAAGATGTATGTTCAGTGTCAGCTGATGCCTGTTGTCCGCTCTTTCAGTGTATATGTTCCCCCAAAGTTGGCTGCTAAAATTCCTTCCTGCTAATCCATACTCCATGTCTCTCATCAGAGAATCAGTGAACTTCAGAGTGTGCATAATCACACTGTAGTTATTTTACCCTTAAGTTTTCCCTAGTTCTTCATCTGTCTAATTGCCTGAAGTATTTTCTAGTGTAGGAAACAAACCCTCATTTAGTTACTAATATAAGTTAGTTTCCCTGGTGCAAACCTGGTGCCTTAAATGAAAATGCTGTTCTGTGTATATACAGATGGCATAGTATTTGACCATAAATAACCACAGGTTATTTTTGGAGAAGGCCAGGCCTAGGGATAAATGGTATTGGTTGGTCAGCAGAATTCTTTATAAAGCCCTTTGGCTAATAATGGATCAAACCTTGGTCATAGGCTTTAGGTTCCCAAGTAGTGGTTTCTAAATCTGGTTCATTAGCAGAGTTACTGAGGGAGGTGGGGTGGTTTTGTTTTTGTTTTTTAGGTTTTCTATTAAAGGACAGATTCCCAGTATTCATTAGTAAGCCAGGGTACCATCCAGTAAATCCTCCCTTCTTTCCCTGCCCCACCTTTTTTTTTTTGCTTCACAGGTGTGAGTGAGTGAGCAACCAGTTTTAGAACTGCTCTTTTTGACCTATGGAGTCCAGCCGTTATCACTCTTTATGGAATGTATGTTCATCTTGTAGATCAGTACTGAAAGAAACATGTTTATAATCCCTTTTTAGTAGAATATTAAAGTGTACTACAAAGCATGGTGTGTGTAAACACCTGATTGATAACTGTAATTTGCTCCATTACCCATTTAAATTAAATAGACTCATTGTGGATTTGAAGTAGCTTCCATATTTAGAGATTAGACATTTTTTGGCCAAAATTGTAATTCTTCTCACATAATAGGATGGTCATGTGATGCTGTTTTATTAACATTGCTGAATTATGCACATCACAGCAATGCAAAAGCATTCAAGTTGGCTTAAATCATAAATTAAAGGAACAGTTATATAATGTAACTGCTATAACTAAACTAGAGGCAAAAAAAAAGAGTGGACAGATGACTACAGGTTTCTATATAAAATTCACTGTCATAGCTACTGTTTTAATGTTTCATCCTGATTCAGATGTTTGACATCCAGGCGGTATTAAGTAAATATTGAAATACTTAATGAAAATATTACTACTTCAGGGTAAACTAATACTAGAATCCTCTGTACTTGTAATTCTTCAAATTTCCACATGCTCACTTACTAGAAAATATGCTGTGAAACATACACATGTGCACAGAAATCTAGACACTGGAGCTTTATTGGTTTTTTTCTTTAATAAAGCTGAGATGTTTTAGGTGTGCAATAACTGAAATCTGATATTTCAGATTAAAAGTAAGTAATAAAATACTACATTTATGTCTTAACCAGTTGATCACACTTACACTGCATTTGAACAGCAGAAGTTTTTGTAGGAATTAACAGCTAAGAGAAAGAATGTGGAAAGGGACCATGTGCCTTCAACAACACAATGTAAGGCTATTTGAGAATGCAGAGTTACAAGTTCGGTTTGACCAAAAAAAATCGTTAAGAAGTTAGAAGATAGAAATTGAAAAGGGCACATACAAAAGATAAGAAGAATTCACAAGAAATGGTGCGTGGATAAGAATTGTCAACTTGAGAATTTGTGATTGCTTCTCTTGCTCTCTTTAGAAAGGAGAGGAGGGTGTTGATGCATATATAATCAAAGGGTGATTGCTGGAAAGGCTATGGTAGAATCATATTCTGATACTGTCTCAGAAGTTTATATTTTCCAAAGGAATTAGTGACAGCAAAGGTTTGGAAGAGGAGGATATGTGGTTGTTAGATGTAGAAGGTAAATGTACTTAAAGAGGGAAGAGCTGTCTGAGAGGAAATTACTTTATTTTAAACATTAAAATTATTGGTTATGTAACTTGCATTAGTACAGTAATGGATTACGTGTAATAGTAAAATTTCATATAATTGTTCGTGAGAGAGCAAGTTGGAGGATATGGTGGCTATAATTCAGCTACATTAGAGAAAGGAAAAATAACCAGGAAAGCTGAGAAGCAGAGGTACTTAGACTTTTTAAAGTAATGCTGATGAATTGTGATTGAAAGTTAAAGTTAGTTTTGGAATATTTGAATGGCTTTGGAACAGTTGGGATCACAGGAGGGTGCAGACTAACTGCACATTGCAGCCTTGGCAAGTGTGTGTGTCATAATTTACAGTAAGATCAGTAATTATATATATGTACAGACTTCTTTCAAATGTAACTGATTATAAGGAAATTCTTTTTTCTTTGCCCAACAGGGATATAGCTAGTGCAATAAAAGAACTTCTTGATACAGTGAATAATGTCTTCAAGAAATACCAATACCAGAACCGCAGGGTAAGTTTAGTAGAAAGCCTTCCCAGCTGCTTGATGTTGATTTACACCTAGTTGCTTTATGGAATTAAATACTTAGATGATTTGATTATTGGAAATATATTTGTACATTAACTGTTGGGTTTGTCCCAAATTTAAATATGCTATTATATGTGTTTAAGTAAATACTTTTTGCTTTACTGCAATATAAAGTCCATCTCATGTTCCATGTTGTCCACTGTCTTTGACTTTGGCTTTTGTGTTATTTTTCTTCTCCTATTTAGTATTTTTTCTTACTATTTTTGATGTCTATAGGCACTTGAACACCAAAAGAAAGAATTTGTAAAGTACTCCAAAAGTTTCAGTGACACTCTGAAAACCTATTTTAAAGATGGCAAGTAAGTACTATGATTTATCATTTGTCTGCTTTTAAAATTAAATGAATTATGTGGTTTTATATGATATTAAAAACATATAAATTAAACTCTTGCTATATTGCTAATACCCAAGCCAGCTAGGAACAAAGGTAGACCATTAAAAATAGAAAGTGGATTGTTGATAATCCAGCCGTAACTCTAGTCTAGAGTAGGATCTGGTGTTAAGTAAATATTGAAATACTTAATAAAAATATCAGACTTTCTAAAATGGGCCAGATAGCATATACTTTGACTTGATGGTCTTTTTGCAACTACCTGATTACCTCTGCTGTAGTTACTTTGAAAACAGTCATGGACAGTATGGAAACATGTAGGCATTTACAGCCATTTCCTTTATTTATAGACGCTGAAATTTGAACTTTGTATTTTTTTCACCTTTTCACATAATTCTTTTTTTTTTAATTTTTACTATTTAAAATGTAGAAAATATTCTTAGTTTGCAGGTTATGCAGAAATATGATGACTAAGCTTTGGCTTACTGGCCTCCTTTACCAATCCCTGAAGTAGTGGTTCTCAAACTTTAGTAGCACCAGAGTCACCTGAAAGGCTTACTAATGCACAGACTGCTTTTGGGACCTCACTCCCAGTTTCTGTAGCTTGAGGGCCGACCCAAGATTTTGCATTTCTAAATAGTTCCAGGTGGTACTGATGCTGCAGGTCTTTGGAGAATTGCTGCATTGAAGTTAAAGTAATAGTTTTCAGTCCTGTTTGCATGTTTGCATGTTAGAATTACTTGAGTCCGGTTATTTAAAAGTCCTGGTGCCTTGGTCCCACCTTCAGAGATTTGGATTCAGTTGACTTAGAGAGAGGCCAGAGTTTAGGTGTTGAAATGTCCCACGTGATTTTAAAGTTCTGCAAATGTGATACACAGTCCTGGAAGGAAAGAAGCTTTCACAGTGTCATTCTGTAAGAAAGTATAACAAAAGGGTAAATCGAACATCTTAAATTGGCTATAGAACACTCCAGAAAACCAAGAGATTTTATGTGTTTTTACGTACATACTCTAGTATGTGTAATATATAAACTGACACGCAGAGTCCATGTCCTCTGCAGCACTGTACCCTACAGAGTCGTCCCGTACCTCAAGTAGAATGCTAGGAATTTTGTGGGCAAGAGCATTTTCTAACAGTGCTTGAAGTCAAGAAATAATTTAAATAGTGATTATTTCTATAATTGGCAGGGACCTCTACATTCTCTTCTACCACTGAAGTTTAAGGATCTCTATAAGCACATCCAACCATTATAATATTACTGTAATATTAAAAAATAATTAAAGAATACATATGATTTATTGATTTTCATATTATTTTTGACAGTTCAAAATAAGTTAATGTATTTACATTATGAATTAAAGATACTGAGCTAAATTTTATTAATGATTTTGTGTTCCATACTACTTATTCAATAGGTTGTCTAAGGGAGATGCTCCTTGATGACTTAGTTTAATAAGTGAGCAGGTGTGTTCTGATAATAAACTTACATTTGTTTTCCTTGGTCTCCTCTGATAAGCCCAAATAACCAAAAACACACTAAAAGGGTAATTTACATGATGAGATCATTATTTCTGATTCTAATTAAGAACTGTTGTGGACTAAGCACATTGATAGTTAGAAATTCCTTTAAAGCCTAATTTTCATTATTCTGAAATTACTTACTCTGCATATGGATTATTCAGGCTTCCTACTATTATTTTTTCTCTATTCAGTAGCTTCTTTAAATTACAATTATTTGTGCATGAATGATGTTATGACTTTTGTACCTGTTTCCTCAAAAGTAAAAATCATTAATAGAACCTGCTCTTAGAGCCATCTTTCAATAGGGGGATGAATTTGCATTGATTTAACTAATACTTCTTGGTCCCTCTTTTTTGAGGAATACCTGGAATGAAGATACAAGCTTTAGCTATGATACTAAGAAACAGATAAGGCCACACAGTGGGACTAGGACATCCTGTGCTCCAGTCACATGAAGATGGGCTGATATGAGAATGTGGTACAGCACAAAGTAATTTTTAAGAACATATTTTTTTATATGTTGTCAGGTTCCAAATACTGAAACACAAGATTATGTTGTTTTAAAAGTAGGTTCTCCTATTTTTTTTTTTTAAAAGAAGGTAAGAGATTTAAATGAAACTGATGCATAGTAATTAGGTTTTTTCTTAAATATTTATGCCAATTGACAATTTTTTGAGACTGAGTATAGTACTTGAGCAGATTTTATTTTGGTAACTTCTTTGAAACCACATATGGCGACTACATTTGAATCCTCTTTGGTCAGTTATTTGTTGGACCTGTTCATCAACTCTGGCTGTTGAGGCACCACCACCCATTACTAGCAGCCCACCAACACCTAATTGCCAGCCAGAACCACTAGGGGGCAGTAATTCCTAGATAGTTTCAAATGATGTAGGATCATTCAGTTCCAAGCTGGTATGATACTCTGTACTAACTTGCCTTTTTTTTTCCATAAATAAATTTATTTCATTGCTACTATTCATGGATGGCATTGAGTGTAAATATATCTAAAGGATGGATTTTTTTGATAAAATTAATGCTTATTTTGTTTTGTTTAAACAGGGCAATAAATGTGTTCATAAGTGCCAACCGACTAATTCATCAAACCAACTTGATACTTCAGACCTTCAAGACTGTGGCCTGAAACTTGTATATGTTAAGAGATGTACTTCTCAGTGGCAGTATTGAACTGCCTTTATCTGTAAATTTTAAAGTTTGACTGTATAAATTATCAGTCCCTCCTGAAGGGATCTAATCCAGGATGTTGAATGGGATTATTGCCATCTTACACCATATTTTTGTAAAATGTAGCTTAATCATAATCTCACACTGAAGATTTTGCATCACTTTTGCTATTATCATTCTTTTAAGAATTATAAGCCAAAAGAATTTACGCCTTAATGTGTCATTATATAACATTCCTTAAAAGAATTGTAAATATTGGTGTTTGTTTCTGACATTTTAACTTGAAAGCGATATGCTGCAAGATAATGTATTTAACAATATTTGGTGGCAAATATTCAATAAATAGTTTACATCTGTTAAACATTTCTTTACTTGAAAAAATACATATATATATATATATATATATATATATGAATATATATATGATCAGAAGACCAAGATAACTTGGTATAATGTCTAAAGAACTTCTAATGGGGACTTATTAGCAGTTTATCATAATATAAAGCAAGAATTCCTATTTTTTTTGTCCTTAATCCCTCTGGGCAAAAAGTCAGTGGAAATATTTTTGTTATATATATATATGAGGTACTGATTATTCTTCCATTCCATTTTAGGAGACTTTTGAGAAAGAAATGGCAATTTATAGTGTTTTTTCACTCTCTAATGCCACTTTTTGAATTCGTATGACAATGTAAAATTAAGTCTTTCTGGTATGCTGGGCCCTAATAAATTTTGTACCTTTTGCTCCAAAAATAGCCAACTAATGGTAATTGGAAGCTATTCCAGTGCTAGTTTGAAAATTGTCGTGAGTGTTATAAATATTATATATACTCTTTAAATATGTATAGTTTCATTTCACCATAAAGACTTAAGGAACTTCTGTATCAGGTATTCATGTTACTCATTTTTCAGTTATGGTAAAATAAAAATATCACAGTTTACCTTTTATGAAGATTTTAAATGTTAAATTTCTTTTGGCAGTATAATTTTTTTTTAGTTATAATGCAATTTGTTTTAAACTTTTTTCTCCATTTTTAAAAGTGGATTTTTTAAATAGTTACTATCATTTCCAAGAGGAAGTCATCCTGTTAGGTGTTAACAGAAAGAAGGTAGAGAGAAGCAAAAACCAGTAGACAGTTCATTATTAGATGAGATTCCATAATTTATGGGCATTTTGCTGAATTACTTTTTTCTTCAAAAATAACATAGCTAATAGAATGAATAGAATTGATGATCTTAACACTCTTAATTTTTGACATAAACTGTCACTCTTAGAAGTAAATAGGTGGTCATTTGCAAAATGGACTTGTGAACATGTGAAGAAAAAATGCACCGTTTTATCTTTTGAGCAAAAGGCTTTTCTAACATAAACCAACACTGTCTTCCCTCCCCGAATCTTCACCTCTTTAACAGAACTCACCAGTTACCATCCATACCACACCTCCTCTCTTTTTGAAGCCATCTATCTTTTATACCATTGTCCAGTATCTCTGGCTTCATTTTTCATGAAATTTACCTCCTGAGAGGAGGTTTATTCTCAGGATAATTCCATTTCTTATATAATCCTACTGGGGCTGAGTTTGGGTCAGTGACGGAAGGGCCAATGTGGTCATCATCGGATAAACCTCTAGGGGACAGAAATTTGGCTCCCGAGGAAATTAAGAGAAAGGGGCATTCCTTGAGCACCTTCTTTGTGTCAAGTACTATTCTAGTTATACTAATTTAATTCTCTTAACAGTCCTATGGCTTAGCTATCTGCCTTGCAATTAGGAAACTAAGAGAGCTTAGATTACAAAACTGGTAACTACGGGAGCCAGGATTTGAATTCAGCATTTGTCTCCAGACTGCATACTCTTTGCATTGAACTGTACTTCATCCGTTGCTGAAAATGTACCTTGTTTAAAATATGAACTCCTTTACAACAAGCTGACAGAGCTTTCCCTAATCTGTAGGAAATTTATTGATCATATGGTTGTTAACAACAATAAAATTCTGTATAGGGGACTCAGTGCACAATCATTAATCAACCCCAAGCCTAATTCTCAACAGTCTCCAATCTGCTGAAGCATAACGAACAAGTTTTTACATAGTGAATAAGTTCTTACATGGTGAACAGTGCAAGGGCAGTCATCACAGAAACTTTCGGTTTTGATCACGCATCATGAACTATAAACAATCAGGTCAATTATGATTATTCGTTTGATTT